AGAGCTAACGGGGCTTAAACTGGGAATCCATTTCCTTGGATGAAATAAAGTCTCTTTCAGCGATACTGCCCATGTCCTGCCCTGCTTCCTAACCACTTCATTTGGAGTTATTTCTGGTTCATTTCTTTCCTTAGAAGTTCTGTTCACTAAATCATAACTCGTACACATTCCTTCCGGTCAGCTCCTGCATGCCATTCTTTTTCCCCTGCAGGAGAGAAGGCGGGTAGTATTCCTTTTTTCTTTCTTTCTTTCTTTCTTTTTTTTTTTTTTGAGACGGATTCTTTCTCTATTGCCCAGGCTAGAGTGCAGTGGCACGACCTTGGCTCACTGCAACCTCCACCTCCTGGGTTCAAGCAGTTTTCCTGCCTCAGCCTCCCAAGTAGCTGGGGTTACAGGTGCATGCCACCAAGCCCGGCTAATTGTTTTGTATTTTTAGTAGAGATGAGGATTCACCATGTTGGCCAGGCTTGTTTCTAACTCCTGACCGCAAGTGATCCACCCGCCCCGGCCTCCCAAAGTGCTGGGATTACAGGCGTGAGCCACTGCGCCCGGCCAAAGGTGGGTAATATTCCTTAAGACTCCACTGTGATGTGGGAGCACATCCCTGGTAGGCCACATCAGACTCCTGGTCTGAGAACATTCAGCTGAGTAGGAGGAGTCCTGAAAACAGCTAATTAACCATCAGAGAAATCATGTTCCAACTGATATGCTTGTTCTCGGCAAGCACAGTCCTCCACCACAGCCAGTCTGATAATTGGATAAACAAGACCTCAGAGGCTCTCGGGGGCTGAAACGAGAGATGAAAACGTACTTTATGTGGCTCTCTTTACTGTAATCACCAGTTAAAGGGACGGCAAGGAGCTTAACAAGCTCATTACAACCTTAGCGCCTGTGATCTCCGCACACACTCCCATGGCGGCCGCAGGATAGGACGTCCTTGAAGGCCTTGCTGGGCCTTGGCCTCAGCCCATGCTGTTTTCATCTCCACCAGAAAGCAGCTGGTGTCTCTAGTACCAGCTGTTGGGCCACATGGAAAATAAGCCAGGAGTTGGTACAAATGTGTTCCTAGGCAAACAACTAGCATTTTCTTAATCTGGACACAGAGCAAGGAATGCCAAGCTTGGATTTGGATAATCTTTTTCCTCAGCTCAGTTTTTCCAGCCGTTCTGTTCTGCTTTCAGAATTGCTGGCCTTCCACTTGTGATTTCTCAGAGCCTCCTGCCTGGCTCTGGTCTCCTTAGAAGTTCTATTCACTAAATCACAAGTTGCAGACATTCCTTCTGGTCAGCTCCTGCATGCACACTAGGCCATTCTTCCCCCACCCCTGCCCAGGAGAGAAGGTGGGTCTTATTCCTGAAGACTTCACTGTGACATGGGAGCATATCTCCATTAGGCCAGATCAGACTGGTCTGAGAACATTCAGCTGAATAGGAAGAGTCCCGAAAACAGCTAATTATTCATCAGATAAATCATGTTCCAACTGATACATGACCTGGCTCTAGCTCCATGCCTCTAACCCACAGAGATTGAGCATGGCACTGCAGAGAGCCCAAGCCCCTGGTTTGGGAGCCCCTGGTCGTTGCTGGGATGAGAACTGCTGGCTCTAGAAGTTGATCTCTCTTGTCAGAGCAAGTGTTTATTTGATGAACGCCAGACCCTCACTGACCCATGGGGAGACTCCCAGGAGCCCTACCCAGTTCCACCAGAACCCATCTACAGCTGTTCATTAAAGTAATCTGAATAAGATAGAGGCACGGGTCAGCACTCATGCATTACTACAATTACTTTTGCACCAACCTAATACAACAGAATGCAACTTGAGGGATGCCCCACACAGGACACCAGAAGGGGCAGGGCAGAGAAAAGAGGCAGTGAAGAGATGGGAGGAAGGTGAGGCTGGGGGGCTGGAAGGCAATGCCAGCTAATCCCAAGCCAACTTGACCTGAGGCTCTGTGGCAGCTGCTCCTTTAAGAGAGGTAAAGATAACTGGAGTTCAACTCAGGCAATGTTCAACTGAAACCCTCATCAATACAAAAGTCCTAAAACGTGTGACTCTGGCTGCCACTGGCACTTGAGGCCAGGTGACATCTGTCATTAGAACCAGGTAATAGTTCCCTCCACCCAAGGGGGCGCTGCAGTTTATGTTAAGGGCACACTAATTTGAAATCCCAAATCCTGGCTGTCAGCGTAAGCGTTTATTGTGTGGCCTGATAGATGTATTGCCCACAGTTCCAGGTAGATCAACTTTTTATAAGTCAAGTCATATTTCAAAATCATCAGGTGAATACTCTGTAAACAAAGAAATATTCCTGAATTTAACTGCTCCATAAATCTTCATTTACATTTATTCGATTTCCTTAAGGGATACAGCTATGACCAGGATTATTGATTGGTATGGTAATAGCAACATCAACACTGAAAGTTACCTGACGGACTCTTGGGATGAGAAGAAATCTGGATTTTTCAACTAAGAAACAGGTACTGCTGTCCCTACCAAAATGATAATATCTTTTTTTTTTTTGAGATGGAGTTTTTTGCTCTCTTGCCCAGGCTGGAGTGCAATGGCGTGATCTTGGGAACCTCTGCCTCCTGGGTTCAAGCAATTCTCCTGCCTCAGCCTCCTGAGTAGCTGGGAATTACAGGCATGCGCCACCACACCCGGCGAATTTTTTTGTATTTTTAGTAGAGATGAGAGTTTACCATGTTGGCCACACTGGCCTTGAACTCTTGACCTCCCTCAGGTGATTCACTTGCCTTGGCCTCCAAAAGTGCTAGGATTACAGGCATGAGCTACCGCACCCAGCCCAAAATGATAACACTCAAAGTGACAAGACTAATCCATACCTGTTACCAATACCACAGTGAATGAGTTTAGAGATCTTTGCTTGAAAAGGGGGGGCCCGTATAAAAAAGCCACAAAGTTCCAGGTTTTTTGAGGTATGGGGAGGTAGCAAGGAACAGAAAGAGAGGAAAATGGACAGAAATGAAAAGGTGAGGTCACCCAGGGCAAACTTAGTCAGCTTGCCAATTTTACCTGGGGTTCAGACCTCTCTTTCCATTTCCAATTTGTGGATGTGGGGAGGTGCAGGAAGGGGGACGCTCTTCTGGCACTGGGTAACCGTCAAGCCCAATCTAATCAAAATCACTCTAAAGCACTCGAGGACTGGAGAAGAAAAGTAAAAATTGAACACAAGAGATGTAGATAAGATGCTTCCTAAATTCTGTGAAGTTTTCATGGAGTAAGATTCTGAACCAACTTCATTCTCTCCCTCTCTTTCCTTAAATAGACTATAACCTATGGTGGCCTGGGAGCCAGGCGGAGGGGCCACAACGAAACTGGAGAGGCGTCTCTCTGTCATTCCCCAGAGTAAAGAGCTGGTTTCTGACAGGGTGGGCGTGGCATTTCTAACGGGTGTCCTTGGCACTTCTACAGTGCCCAGTACGGCTCAAGAATATTCACTCTGTATTTGCGGGTCTGCCTCTGGCAGATGTGTGTTGACAAGCACTCCTTCCAGACCCTATAGAATAGGCAGGTGCCACCATATGTGACTCAGAAACCAAGGCAGCCCAACCTGTCAGGCCTTCAGTGTCCAGCTCCCTCCTCTCCAATATGGTCGACACATACAGCTACTTGACTTTAAATTAAAATTAATTAATTAAGTTTTCAGTTCCTCCATTGCACTGGCCACATTTCAAATGTTGAACAGCCACATGTGATTAGTGGCTATTGCACTGGTGGCACACACACAGAACATTTCTGTTATTGCTGTAAATACTATTGGAATGTGTACTACTATTACGTTATTGCTGTAAATTCTTTTGGAAAGAGCTAATCTTCAGCTGAAAACCTGCCTTTTTTACAACTAGCCCATGTTGGTCACATTGCTCTCTCTCTAGTACGTCCTTATTCACAGAGGAAAACCAAGATAATGGCTAGCAGGATTTTTGTTTGTTTGTTTGTTTGAGACGGAGTCTCGCTCTGTTGCCCAGGCTGGAGTGCAGTGGCGTGATCTTGGCTCACTACAACCTCTGCCTCTGGGTTCATGCCATTCTCCTGTCAGCCTCCTGAGTAGCTGGGATTACAGGCACACGCCACCATGCCCTGCTAATTTTTGTATTTTTTATAGAAACAGGATTTCAACCATGTTGATCAGGCTGGTCTTGAATACCTGACTTCGTGATCCACCTGCCTTGGCCTCCCAAAGTGCTGGGATTACAGGCGTGAAGCACCCGTGCCTGGCTAGGATTTTTTTTTTTCAATCTCTGGAAAGCATATGTCCACTATGATACTAAACTATAATTACACCTGAAGTAATACTTTCTGGTTAAAGAGAACTAAGTAAACTATGTTTAGAAAGAGATTTGGCCATCACAATAGAAACCTCACATTTCATTTCCCTAAAACTTAGGAAGTAGGAAGACAGGTTGAAGGAAGAGAAAGCATGATTCAAATACAACTCAGAATGTGAGTTCAGTGGTTTTTTAAGAACCTGTGCTTTTTTTCTTTTCCCTTCCCTTCCCTCTTGCCTTCCCTTTTCCCTTCCCTTTTCCCTTCCCTTTTCCCTTCCCTTCCCTTCCCTTTTCCCTTCCCTTTTCCCTTCCCTTCCCTTTTCCCTTCCTTTCCCTTCCTTTCCTCTTTCCTTTCCCCTTTCTGTTCCTTCCCCTTCCCTTTCCCTTTCTTTTTTTTTTTTTGAGATAGAGTCTGGTTCTGTGTCCCAGGCTGGAGTGCAGTGCTGCAATCTTGGCTCACTGTAACATCTGCCTCCTGGGTTCAAGCAATTCTCTTGCCCCAGCCTCCCAAGTAGCTGGGATTACAGACAAGTGCCACGATGCCGAGCCAATTTTTGTATATGTTGTAGAGACAGGGTTTTGCCATGTTGCCCAGGCTGGTCTCAAACTCCTGAGCTCAAGCAATCCTCCTGCCTCGGCCTCTCAAAGTGCTGAGACCACGAGCCAGAGTACATGAGCCACCGCGCCCAGCCTGAACCTGTGTTTCTTACCTGTACACAGTATGAGGGACATACACTTCTCGTATTGGAAATTCCAAAATCTCTTTGTGTGGGCGTGTCCGGTTTTCAGGAAAGGGTCTCACAGGCAGCATTTCAGGAGTCAGACAGCAATTGATGATCTCTGGAGCTGTAGAAATCTCCAGTCTGAGCAAGCCTAAGAGAGAAAACAGGAATGTTCTAGTAAAGAAACTGTCATGTTATGAGGGAATCAAGAAAGACTTGCACAGTGTTGCTTTCATGAAAATAAGAACAAACTATAGTACGATAAAACAGTTGTGGAGCTAATTTCCTGCAGCTCGAGGAAAGCATGTCATGAGAACTTTTGAGATTTAACTCCCGTAAAATAAAATATAAAGCCAGAAGTTGTAAAATAAGTAGGAATGGATTAGAGGATTTCTAAAGTTCTTTCCTGAATTACCACACTATAATTGACATCGTTAAGTAACTTCCCTGCATTGCTAGCAGCGAAAGTGGGTAGTTTTAAAACTGGCTTCCCTGGACCTGAGGATGCTATGGAAGTACGTCCAGGGTCGCTGAGCTGAGGATAAGGAGGGTGACTTTGCCTTCTACCAAAGCATCTCACATTCACTTTTTAAATACTAAGTATAATATTTTATTTGACTAAAGAGGCTCCTCTGTTTAAACAATTTTCGGCCAGGCGTGGTGGGTGGCTCACACCTATAATCCCAGCACTTTGGGAGGTCAAGGTGGGTGGATCGCGAGGTCAGGGGTTCAAGGCCAGCCTGGCTAAGATGGAGAAACCCTGTCTCTACTAAAAATACAAAAATTTGCTGGACGGGGTGGCAGGTGCCTCTAATCCCAGCTACTTGGGAGGCTGAGGCAGGAGAATCTCTTGAAGCCAGTGGGAAGGAGGTCGCAGTGAGCCGAGATCACGCCACTGCACTCCAGCCTGGGCGACAGAGTGAGACTCCATCTAAAATAAAATAAAATAAAATAAAATAAAATAAAATAAAATAAAATAAAAAATTCTCATTATCTGAGAAACCAGATCTAAAGCACAGGGTTTGTTTATGAAATCAATCCTTTAAGAAAATTAAAAAACACTAACAGGTTTGCCAATTCATAGTCTTAACTCCTAACACAAAATCTCAAATTTCACTTGGCAAAGATGATTTTATAAATTCTAGCATTAGACAAAGAATATGTCTAATGATAAGCAGTTTTGGCACAGCTAAAGAGGATAAGACAGGTCATTCACACCTGGAATTGACTTGACTCGTCTCTGTAAGGATGAAGATCTTTTGTAGTCAGCTAAAAACTTGAATAAGTCTTCATCACTAAGGCGATCTCCTTCCTGCCAACAGAAAAGTCAGAGTTAGCGTAGATGCACCTTTGATGCTTGGGTTGGGGACCAGTGATTTCTGGGAAGATTTTTACCTTTAAGTTTTTTTCTCATAAGTCTTTTATAGAAATTAGGATTATAGGCAGCTCTGATATCATTTAGTTCCACCTCTTGTTAAATCCTCTTCACTGATGACTCACTGTGCCTCAGCCTCTCATGAGTCCTTCTGGGGATGGGGCTTCTGCTGCATTCTAAGGAAGCCTGTCTGACCATTAGAAATCCAGGCCAAAAGCTTCTCCCTCTATAACTCCCACCCTCTGATGCCAGTTTTACCAGCTGGAACAATACAGAATAAGTTTACTTTCTTCTTCAAAGGTATGAAGGTGGAGAAAGCATCTTTCCTTCTCATTGTCTTCACATCTGTCTCAAACAAGAAGGTTAAGCAAAAACGCTACCCACCCTCACATATGCCCAAGATGGGTCAGGCACTCTGCCAAGGGACACACATGCATGATCTCCAATCCTTACAACAACCCAGTGAGGTAAGTAGGTAGATACGTCTTATTCCCAGTGAGAACATCCAGGCTTAGCTAAGTGCCTTGTCCTCCAAGGTTGCATGACTGGGAAGGAATGTAGCCTGAATAGAAACCTTTTCAGACCCTTACTATTTCTATTGTGTGGCATGGTGCACAGACCCCCTTAGCATCCTTTTTGCATTTCAGTTTGTTAATGTAACCCTTTTAAATGTTCCATGAAGACTGTGTAGCTATGGAAAACTTTCCAAAACAGAGTCAGACCAAGTGAGTTTATTTTAAGTGTGGCAAAATATAACTAACATAAAATTATCCTAACTCTTTTTTTTTTTTCTTTTTTTTTTCTGAGGGCGAGTCTCACTCTGTCATGCAGGCTGGAGTGCAGTGGTGCAATCTCAGGTCACTACAACCTCCACCTCCCAGGTTCAAGCGATTCTCCAGCCTCAGCCTTCCAAGTAACTGGGATTAAGGTGTGTGCCACCACACTTGGCTAATTTTAATATTTTTAGTAGAGACGGGGTTTCACCATGTTGGCTAGGCTGGTCTTGAACTCCTGACCTAAAGTAATCCACCTGCCTCGGCCTCCCAAAGAGCTGGGATTACAGGTGTGAGCACCATGCCCGGCCCATCATACCTATTTCTAAGTGCACAATTCAGTAGTATTAAGTACATTTGCATTGTTGTGCAACCAACCTCCAGAATGCTTTTATCTTGCAAACAAAACATCTGAAACTATACCCTTTAACCAATGACTCCCCATCCCCTTTATCCTTAGACCTTGGCAACCATCATTCTACTTTCTGTCTCTATACATTTGACAAGTCTAATAAGTTTTGTATTTTTTTAATAGTCTTGATGTTTACTGAGCTAACAAAGAGTAGCATCTGGAATGGTTACCCTCTCTGAGCAAGCAGGGAGCCCTGGAAACGTGCACATCAAGCAGTAGTGAAAGTGGAAACCCTAAGATCCATAGGGAAGGAGAGGTCCCAGTCAGACTGTTGTCATAGCCGAATGAATGGATTGGCCAAGCTGGTTCAAATGGGAAAGTCTGTATCAGTAGGAACAAAACCTAATCCTTCTCTCAATGAAAATAGCTAACATTCATTAAGGACTTACTGTATTCCAGGCATTCTAAGATGAGCTTTACAGGTCCCATGTCACCTGATCTTCCCACTGGCCACATAGAGCTAAGCACTATTGTTCCCATTTTGCGGCTAATGAAACCGAGGCTGCGTGAATGCTGTGGGTTGAATGTCCCCTTCAAAACTCATGGCGAAGCTTGGTCCCCATGGTGGCAGTGTTGGGAGGTGGAGCCTTGAAGACGTGATTGAATCACGAGGACTCTGCCCTCACGAATGGATTGATCCATTCACGGATTAATGGATTAGCGGGTTGTCATGGGAGGGAGCTGGTGGGTTTATAAGAGGAAGAGAGACCTGAGCGAGCATGCTCAGCTCCTCACCATGCTCCACCCCAGGACCCTGCAGAGAGTCCCCACCAGCAAGAAAGCCCTCACCAAATGTGGGCCCTCAACTTTGGATTTTTCCGCCTTCATAACTGTGAGAAACAAATTCCTTTTCTTTATAAATTACCCAGTTTCAGGTACTCTATTATAAGCAACAGAAAATGACCTAAGACAGTGAGGTAAACTAATTTTCTGTCTTAATCACTGCATATACTCCTCCTGCGGGTTCCCGTGCCCACGCCAGCATGGGGAAAAACAGACACACACTGTAATGTGAAGAGATACCTGCTTGAAAAAGCTGTTAACGCTCAGGGTGGAGGTTTTGAAGTTGGATCCAGCCCCATTTTCCTCCAAGGAGAGGGCTCTTTCAGAAAGCCGTCTAGATTGGGCCAAAGTCCTCCGTTCACCTGCTGAGCTTCTCCCTTTAAGAAAAACAACTGTCAATCCAAAGTATGCCTTTCTGTTCAAACACACAGCAGTTATTAACTTTAAGATATATATGTTTCAAGTCACTGATCAGGAACACTGAATATGGCCCTCCTTGTTTTGAATGAAAATGTCCTTCCATTGGCCCCTACCTTTCTTAGTCCTGTTGGCATCGTTAATCCTCCTCCAGCCAGAGGAGAGAGGCCAGGAGCAGCCATGGGCCCCTCCCACATGAAGTTAGGGTAGACCAGATGCCACCCTGCAAGAGTCCAGAGCTATAGCCAGAACAGGGTCTCCTGATAAGCTTTATTTAGTCAGCACACTGTTTACTTTTCTTTTATTTTTATATTTGCATTCCACTGGGAGAGGCATGTACTCAAATGTCCCTGAAGGCATTTGGGATTGTGACCCAAACATGCTGGGGTCAGCCTGTGTACATTCTGAATTTCAGTGTTCCTCTGCTCTCATCATGTGGACCAGGCAGCAAGACTGAGTTTCTGCCTTGGCTGATCTGTCAAATGGGAATTAGAGCCCCAAACCACACTCAGACTTGGGCTGGGACCCTGATACTTTGCCCAGTTGTTTCTTATCCCCTTTGGGATTTGGGTGGAAATCTTGTTGCCTTTATGTTGTAAAAACTCAGGGGTTCTGTTGTTAATAACACACTTAAGTTCTGTTGTAAATAATCAAATTGCTTAGAACTCTAAGAGTTCCAACTCCTGTCTTTGAATATCTTCTTATTCTTAATTCTTACCATGACGCTGAATTAGAATTTCTTGCTACCTCTACGCACCTACACCTGCCATATCAACTCAGTATAATACATGACATCTTTGGATCTTCTGATTGCTCCTTAAGAATCAGTCTCTGCAGTCAGGTTATCCTTGGCCTAGAGATGACTGAGGCCTCAGCATGTCCCATACCTGAATTACCTAGTTGTGGTTCCCTCTAAGCTCTATAGATAACTCTTATCAATAAGTTACCTGGGTCTACATAGATGTTGGCATTAAAGAAAGCTGTGGCAGGAAGATCAGGATGTGGTAAAGTGAAGTTTGTTATTGATGAATCAGAAATAACCCGGGAGTTCCGACTGGTGATTATGCACCAGTAACTCCAAAATAGCAGCAGCAATCACAAAATGCCCTTTCTCCCACTTCCCTGCTCAAGGTAACATTTCAGAAGTGGCTTAAGTCTTAGCTTAAGGAATGCATGAAAAAATGTGAATGTAGACGTAGACTTAAATATTTGGCGGATACGAAAGCTTTTAGGGAAACAGAAACCCCACCGCAGGTGCTGTAGGTGGGTCAACTTGAAATCTTGAGACCCTTTTGAAAAATTCTACAACCAAGCAGTGTAGGAACAAATGATTCAGATCAAGGGTGAGATGATGAAAAAGAAATATGCTAAATAAACGAAAACAGTAACTAGACATTCTTTGGGTGCCTACTTTTTCATTGCACTTGGCAAAGTAAACTTTAAAGGACTGGAAATTTTGCTGAGAAACCTGAGTTTTGCTTTTTGAAGGCTTTGTAACAGAGGCTTTTTTTTTTTTTTTTTGGTTTAGGAGTCGACCAGGGTATCTCTGTTTAACACACTATAGATGGTTACTACATTTTCTTATTTTTAAAGTTTTACTTTTGAGAGGGTGTTAATTTTTTTTACCAAAAATTAACTTTTTAAAGTGTCAAACCATCTTGAAAATCTTACTATAAGAATATACTTAATCTTTACCAATGTTCATAATTTCTTTTGGAGATCACTGTCCAATCAAATATATGTCATCCAGTTATAAGAGTGTTTCATTCTGTTTATCTCCTTCTTCCCTCCCACTCCCTACACCTCACTGCGCCCCCAACGCCCACTAGTAAGCAGTGGACCTGAGCGGTGGCACACTGGGCAGCCCTCCCTTTCCCACTGCAGGTGAAAATCTTACCAACCACAGGGTCCACATCGGTTACCTCCCTCTCCAGGGTGGAGACATTGAGGAAGCTGGATAAGCTTATGGGTGCCCAGGCAAAGGGCATCCGGTATTTCCCCAAACGCTGGCAGAAAGATTCAGCTTGGAGTTTTAGTTTTTCAATCTTTTCTTTACTCTGCAGGAAAATGGAAAGAAACAAGCTGAAACACGCACCAGCACCAAGGCCACTGCCTCTGGCCTGAATGCGACAGCTATCTCTAAACTCCAAACTCCGCTGATTAAAAAGAGTCAATAACTATCTTCCCATTGAAAAATGAAAACAGTGAATAGGCAGAAAAATGACACACTCAGGCCAGAAGTTTAGCTGATAAGGAAATAAAGATTAAAAAACGAGTTTACAAGAAGGCTACATTTAATTAGTAAACGACACTTTTAGCTAAAAAAAAAAAAAAAAGGGGGGGGGGGGGGGCTCATTACACCAGATTATCAATTCTTTTGGTGGCTACCTATAGGACTTGGATTTGCATAAGAGAATCTTGAAATCAAAAGTTTCGTATATCATCTACCAAGCTCCCAAGTGAACCTGTTTCTCCAAAAGTTGCCTTGAAAAACTCCAAAAAATTCCAAAAAGTTTCCTAACAACTCCTTAGGAAGTTTACAACATTTCCAAGGTGTGCTTTCTGAGTTCAGAATAAAAGATAGATTTAAAAAATCAAACGCCTTGAGTTCAATAAATCTTACTTGACATTTATGAGCCTGTAGTGCAATACTGATTAGGTAAGCCTTATTCCAGTAAGGCCATTATTTATTTATTTATTTTTTGAGACGAAGTCTCACTCTGTTGCCCAGGCTGAAGTATAGCGGTGCAATCTTGGCTCATGGCAGCCTCTGCCTCCTGGGTTCAAGCAATTCTCCTGCCTTGGCCTCCCGAGTAGCTGGGATTACAGGTGCGTGCCACCGCTCCTGGCTAAGTTGTTGTATTTTTAGTAGAGACGGAGTTCGACTGTGTTACCCAGGATGGTCTTAATCTCCCGACCTTGTGAGCCACTTGTCTTGGCCTCCCAAAGTGCTGGGATTACAGGCATGAGCCATCGCACCCTGCTAAGGCCATGTTTTAAAAATCACACTGGGAATCTTTGCAAATTGCTGCTGAGAAAAGACATCCTTTTCATAGACTCAACACCTATGCTGTGTTAATGAATTTATAATGCATGGTAGTGACAGCCAATTCCCAATTATTTGCGTACCTGAAAGGGCAGTGGCCCATGCTGTTGAGGAAGGCCAAGAGAGCTCTGGGACTGTTCAGTTTCAGGGTCTCTGTGGACCTCCCAACCAGCTGAGTCACAGCCTCAGAACCAAGATAACAGGGGGTGGCCTTGCCCCAGACAAGTTATGCAGTCAGACCCTTGTGTATGTCAACATCAGAAAATTCAAGGATTTATTTCTTTAAAAAGTCATCATCAGGCTGGGCATGGTGGCAGACGTCTGTAATCCCAACACTTAGCAAGGCCGAGGCAGGAGAATCACTTGAGACCAGGAATTTGAGACCAGACTGAGCAACACAGTGAGACCCCATCTCTGCAAAAAATAAAAAAAACTAGCCAAGCATGGTGGCATGTGCCTGTAAGTACCAGCTACTCAAGAGGCTGAGGGGGAGGATCACTAGAGCCCAGGAGTTCAAGGTTGTAGTGAGCTGTGATTACACTACTGCACTCCAGCCTGGGAGATAAAGTAAACAAACAAACAAAAAACAAGAAAACGAACAAAAAGTCAACACCAGTGACCAGTTTCCTTTTCTTCTTTCATTTAATTACAATGTAGTAGTGTCTCATGTAGGGACCTACCCATTAACTGTTTTTTGTAACACTTCTGAAATATCTGCTCCTTCTAAGATGTCTCCATTTAGCAATACTCAAATTACCATACCTTTCCCCCATCACCTTCTTTGATAACCATGTAGGGCTCTGCACAGTCTCCAATCTCTCCCTGCTGTAGGACTTTTTCAATCTACCAATAAAAATAATATTAAAATAAGGCACACAAATTACATCCATATAAAGGGATCTATGCAACCATCAAAATTACTTTTGATGACATAGGAAGATATCTGTGACACACGGTTTTTGATTAAAAAGTTTACATAAAGAATACCATACAATTTTATTTAAAAAATCACAAAGACATATTAAAAGGGTGATATTAGATACACAGCAAAGGCAGCAAGTGTTAATAGTAGTGATCTTTGCATGGTGGGATTATGTGTGATTTTTATTTTCTTCCCATTGCTTATGTGTATTTTCTGTTTTAAACAATAAACATGTATTATGTATATAATAAAAAAGGCAATAAAAGTTATTTTATAAAACAAAACCCAGGAGACATATGTAGGAAGTGGAAAGCTCATTTTCTTTATTATTGCTTAGAATGTAAAAAAGAGATATGGTCTCTGTGAAAGTTGGGTTGGGGACTAAAACCTTCCAAAAAATGAATGACTGAACTGAATAAATTATCTGTAATTGCTGCCCTTGTATTTCCTATTAGGGCTAATCCTCTGGATTTAACAGACTTGGAAAGAAACTCAAAAGCATTGAGATGTTCAGCTTCTTGGTTTGCTAACTCTGGTAATAGAAATGAATGCTAGTAATAAGAATAAAGGAAGTATCTTCTGTCTTGCTTCAGGTAAAGTGACTGGCTGGTCAGTTGTAATAAATTTGGGCACCATGTTTAGGAGAAAGAAAAGGAGAAATTTGAAATTTCCTAACCCGCTGCTCAAAGGAAATTTGACTTAAGATGTTGAAGAGTAAAACCAGTGGATTTAGTCCCATTAGTTGAGATCCTTGAAGAAGGGATTTGGGTCAACATAGTCCAAAAGGGACACATCCTTAATAGGTGCTGTGAGTTAGGTACAAAGTATTTAACCAACATCACCCCATGATGAAGGGGAATTTATGGGGTTTCAAAGGAATTGGCATGGGGCTACTCAATAGATATCTGTTTCAGGGAGGACTCCAAGCAGAAAGTCTCTCTTCTTACAAAAGAAGTTCAAAAACCCCTCCCATTGCCAAATCATGAAGAGAAGGCAAATCCCACTGAGAGATGCACCACACTGAAAAAATAGGCACATAACACTTGAGCTAGAAACTGAGGGGTAATCAGCAATCTTTCACTCATTGTTGAGTACCTTCTATATGGTAGCAGCTGGGGAGATAAGGTGGCTATAAACACTGCCCCTATTCTCCTGAAGCTCATAGTCAGGAGCCTACAGAACAAATTGGAAGCTAATTTTTCTATGATGTGAATGGATTAAAAATGTGGTCTTTAGGATAAATTTTGAACAGAGGTCAAGAACTTCTTAGAAGCAAGGCAGAAAAATGCCACAGCTTCATGCACTAATAGTATGTATCATGGAACACACAGGAAGCAGGAGAAGTTAGATTTGACCAGACCGGCAGATACTACTCCCCTAGCTGCAGTGGGCAAGGGGAACTCCAGTATGAGAAGGAGCTGCAGGCTGACATGAGAACCTCCTGTTTGGTCCTTCCTGATGTATGCAAAAGTGTGTAATGAAATGCATATGACTCCTCACAACCATGGAAAGGAGGGCAAAGAAGCCTATCAGAATAACCAAAAACTTTTCTTCAGGGAAGAGGCTACTTTCTGCTGTATTCAGAAGGGGTAGGGTCAACACTTGGCATACCTATTTTTAAACAATTTTTGGAAAGTTTCCAATTCACTCCCATTTTCACTCTTCTTTCCTTGATTGTAAAACAATTTTTTTTTAATTTCGCAAAATCTTGAACTAAACCTTTAAGCTGAAATGATCCCTTAAAGCAATATTATATGCAACACCTGAACTAGGTGACGCTACCTAAAACACAGTAAAGATCCTGATGTTTGGCTTGGGAATATAAACAAAAAAGAAGCCCCTCTCATCAAATAATGTTTGCCTGGATGTGCTAAATAGTATAACACCATTTACTATGTAGTTAAAGAAAAAGAAGCAGGGCCAGGCGTGGTGGCTCACACCTGTAATCCCAGCACTTTGGGAGGCCGAGGAGGGTGGATCACGAGGTCAAGAGATCGAGACCATCCCGGTCAACATGGTGAAACCCCGTCTCTACTAAAAATACAAAAAATTAGCTGGACATGGTGGCGCGTGC